TCTCCATAGTAGCAGAAATGCATAAAAATGAGGCTTTTATGAAAACACTGAATAAAAATGACTTCTTGAAAGACAATAAATGTACAGTTCAGTATACGAAGTGTGTTTGAATGGCAGAGATGAGCCATGGCTGAACGGGACTCACAGGCCTGAGTGTGCACTTCAGAATTATTCAATGTTTTAAGTTCAGCTAAAGTCAGTTTTATTTGCAAAGGACCAACTTACAAGAAACAGTCACATTTAAGGTGTTTTATACTGTAAATACTGACAGCCCAACAATCAGACGACCTCCTGTGAGCAAACACTTGGTAACAGTGGGAAGGAAGACCTCCCTCAGGCTGCGTCCACACTGGCCCAGATAGATTTGAAAATGGCGTTTTCGTCTGAAAACGCTCCGCGCCCACACTAGCGTGTTCAGTTGTTTTCACAGAGTTGTGCGTCCACACTGAAATGGCCGAAAACGCTTACGTTCCAGTGCTGCACATGTGTGAAGCGCAAGAAGATTTGCCCTGCCTCATTTCTGTCTGCCGCTTATTTACTTCCGTCTCTTTGAAACGTGGCAGCAGAATGTTGAGGAAAAGCACCGAGTTTGTTAAATGGACTCACAATGAGGTGGAGTCGTTGCTGCGAGTAACACAAAAGTACAAAGTTGCAAAAGCGAGTGAGAATTAGAAAAAGGAAGAAAAGCTCTGGAGCAGACTGATATGAAGTCTCCGTTTTCTCTGTCCACACTGCGACACATAAGCACCTTCAAATGTATTCGTTTTCGAGAGCGTTTTCAAAACGCTGTTTTTTCCTTCGGGGAAAACGCCGTCTCAGTGTGGACGGGCGGCCAAAACGGAGAGAAAACAGTGTGTTTTCAAACAAAGACGCATTAGTGTGGACGTAGCCTCAGGCTCAGGAAGGGGAGGCCATCTCAGACTGCTTGGAGGTTGGGAAGGTTGTGTGACCTGGACCCCATTCACAAAAGAGCTCACTAATGCCCCCTCCCCTTTTGTTTGATAAAAAGTCAAACTTTCAAAATAAAAGCGTGAGGCTTGTCCGTGATTAAACGGACGACTGTTTGAAGATGACAAACACACCTTTGCACACTTGGCTAAGAAAATGTAATCTGTGGCTGCACAAGGACACAGGGTTCAGCTACCCTGCAAGACTCCATTAGCATTAACTGGTGTTTTTCTGTACACTGGTCTGGTCCCAGTGCAGAGGACTGGTGTCATTTTATAAGTATAGATCATTTAATTATGGGATAACAGAAGAAATCACAAATCCCTGGGAACGTCTTTAGGTTTCAAGAAGACAAAAAGAATTAAAAAACAAAACAAAAACAACTTTCACTTGAAACTTTAAAGAGTTTTTTATGTTTCTTTTTGTTTTAAACTATAAACATGACTCAAAAAATAAAGATTCAGTGGTTTTATGACACAAAGAGGAGGAGGTGGTGGAGGAGGCGGCGACTGCCAGTCTTATCTTTTTCAGACCCCCCGCCCCCCTTCTCTCTCTCTGTTTCTCTTGTTGTGGCCTCGCTCACTCGCCTGCTGTCAGTGTTATTTCGGTTACAGCGATCTGGGCTTGGCTGAGGAATGTACAGCTGCCTGACATACGGATAATACTAGATTTTAATTTCTAACACCCCCTCTCTGCCCTGCCGTGTGCCTCTGCTCCCTATCAGGGAGGAGGAAGAGGAGGCGGCCTGCAAAGGTAGAGGCTGTGAGAGCAACAACGACATCGATGCTTTCTGTAGACCTTTTTAAAATACAGGAAACTTAAATGATGCTTTATATTTATTATAACAGAGTACGTGAGGCTGCAGGCAGGAAAAAGGAACCTGAAGACATCATTTGGTGGTTTCAGCCGTTTACACTGTGGAGGTTTGGATGCGTGCACAGACTGTCTGGTTTCTGTTTGTTAGCATCTCAAAGCTAACTACTCAACAGACCACAGACGGACATCCAGCTTAGACACCCTTAGACTTTAAACACAACACTCTTTAAAGACTTTGGATGCACTAAACAGAACTCAGACACAGTTAAAGCTTCTAAACATGTTAAAAACCCCTACAAGGCTATATACACCTTTACAGATTCTACAGGCTTTTAAAAATACTCAAACAGGCATTAAACAATATTAAAAGATTCTGTACCATTAACAGAGTTAAAGACGCAGCAAAAGACAAAACAAAGAAGACGACCCAGAGGGTTGGCATCTACTTTCGGCAACATTTCTAAAGCTTCTTCTTCCTGATTGTCACTGAAGACCTTTTAATGACCCATATGCAGGAGGCAGATAAATGCCAGCAGCCAGGTCTCACAGGGGCAGCCAAACAGGTTTTCCTCCTCTCCTCAGCAGCCATTAAAAGACGCCACCTAAAGCGATGCGGGTCAAAAATGTTTATCTGAGGCCCATTCGAGGCATCAGCAGTCGGCTTACAGTGAAAATAATATGTGTGTTATTATCCCTGCATCCATATTCAGTAAGCAAACATGCAAACAACCAGGAAATCAGCACCAAACACCCAAATACTCGTGTATTTTGTATATCTAAAGGTTGTGGTCTAATAATCAAACAGACGGTCGTTAGCATGTACGAGGATCGCTTCATGCAGGATTTTACTGCAACCATCCCAACACGCTGCAGATCTCATGCCACAAACTCTTCAGGCGATGTTCGACCATGTGCCTCTATAATCATATCATCGGCACCAACGCTGGTATAAAACTTGGACTGATATTATAGCGTCATGTTGTCATGTTTAAGTTCCCTAATGTGTGCAACAGCAAGACAAGGCCAGACATGTCTGAGAGCGAGAGCAGCCTGTGATGATGATGATTTAGTACCTAAAGCAGGAGCTACTTCAACACCCAGCACACACCATCGAGCAGATGCTGCAAATCACATGTAAACACATGTAAACTCCAGTGCTAACGCCTCGTCACTGTCTGTAAAGTCGCTGCTTTTACATTTACAGACGCTGCTGCAGAGATGCAAGCATCACTGGTAGGATGATCCCAAATGTTCTAGAAATATTGGGACATAACTCATATTGCCCACTCCTGCTGTAAATTAAACTAATGTTTGGCAATTTCATGTCATTCACCCACACAAGGCGGGCAGTTCGGGCTTCAGTGTTTTCCCTGCACATCTGGACTCGCTCTGCCTCCAGAGCCAAAAACGCTTCAACAGTTATTTTTACATTTCACACTAACGTCTGACACAACGACTCTGAAAACCTCACATCACATTTCATCTTAAGAGAATTCTAAGGACTCTAAAGACCACTTGGATTAAATTATTATTGTTGTGACGTTAAATCTCCTCTTTATTATTTCTGCATTGGTCATCAATGATCAAACACGACAGGGGTGAGTAAACGCACATATGAGCTGAACATGACAGAGCATCGTTAAAGAGCTCACACACCGTTTTTACTGAATAAAACAAACTGGTCCAGGTAACTGTGCTCGCTTTTACCCACATACTTCTCCTACAGTGTCGGCCTCGTGTTTGAGATTTTCATATGAGCAAACACCCTGAGAGTCTGTGCTGCAACGAAACCTGGAGGACGTCTACTGAATCAAGGCCACAGATGAATGTGCCTCATGATTGGGCTGTTCCAGTAATGGTTTTATATACAGGTGATTAAACTGTTCCCAGTATGAGCTGCCAGATGTGGTTGAATGTTAGATCCTGCAGTTTAACAGAAACCGTGAGTTAAAAATCAAGCCCCCCCCCCCCAAATGTAAAATGAGTTTGACACACCTGGATTAGAGGACGGCTTCACTGTTTCACACAGTGCTGGGCAGGTGGATGTGCAGGTGTTTAGTTTTTTATTAGAGAAAGGTGTGAATGACATCACATTAAAGGTGCTCAGGAATCAGCTGCCTCTCCGGGAACTCTTTCATCCTGCTGTTGCACTACAGCAGCACTTTTTTAAGCTGATTTAAAATCTGTGATGTCTGATAAACAGATTATTGGAAAGATTACTCCCATGTCCGCGCATTTTAAAAATAGGAAATGGCCTTAGTTTAAATTTAAAGTATTTTAAACAAGTACTTTAAGATTTTTTTAAGGAGGTACAAGAAAATAAAAGTGACTCTTTCATGCTGCCTTATAAAACCTCTCAGATTGCAAAGACATAAAAGCCGCGATAGTTAATCGATTAGTCGATCAGTGAACTGTATTGATTCTGAGCTGCAGACACGTGAACGATTAAAAGCGAGAAACATGGCGGAATAAACAAGAGACAGAACTAAGATCAAAACCACCTTAAAACACGCCGAAGCAGCCTGGAAACCTGGAGCTCACAGGTGGCTTTACCTGACTGCTCAGGTGGGTCAAAAATCAGAGTTTAAAGCAGGTAAACATACAGAAACACGGCTGCCCAGCCCACGATGCTAACCAGGTTAACAACACTGAAGGTCAGCAACGAAAAGCGCCGTAAAAAAACTTTGACAACAAACTTTAACCAGTTTTTCTTCTTCGTTTCAGCACCTTAAACCCGCTCAGAGCTAACTCGGAGCTAGCAGCGCTAACAGGAATGCGGCTAACCGAGCTGGAAACAAATTCTCCCGAAACAAACTTCACCAAACGCCCCCGAAAACACCCCTACACCCCAAAATAGTCCGAATCTAGGGTTTAAATAAAGCCCCTGTGAGTTTAAAGCGATAATCTGTCACTTTTTAAATCAAAAACGAGCCAAATTTCTGCTGCAGCAAAACTACAGCCAACTTTTTTTTTCCACGACAGCAGTTAGAGAAGGAGGGGATGCGTCTATCTGCTGGCACAGAAATAAAATCTGTACACGGATAAAATTTAATTCTCATTTTTTAACTTACATCCACAGTTAAACACACTAAAATTATTTTACACCCACACACACACGGGTCTACTTAAAGCTGCTTCACTGAAAAATAAAAATCCTAAGGGAGTGCGTGTGCTCCAGTAAATAGACGACGCTCAGATCCGCCGTCTGGACTGAAGTTTGGGATCGTTTGACTCACCTTTCTTCCTGTGTCTTTACTGTCTCCTGGATGTTCGAACCTTTTTCCCCCGCGTTACTTCATCCTGTAAGTCCGGTTCGAGCTCGCGCCAGCCTCCGTTATCCCGCACAGAAATCTATATTTCCAGACGTTTTTCGTTGGCGTCCCCCGCTCCGTGCGCTCCGCTCGCCTCTGCGGGTTTGCGCTGCTGTTGGACAGAAAAGCGAATACCAGGCAGAGATCGTCTCCTGTTCTCGCGATGACTCACTGTGCAGCACAAAACACCCAGCCGAACTTCCGGTCGGAACGAGGGGTGTGTGGAAAATTTGCACGCGCTCACTGTTTCACCTCTCAGGTAACTTCAGAGGACCTGAGGTTTTGAGTGGCCCAGGTGTGAGGCTCTCGCGTTCTCCTATTTTCACTCCTTAAAAAAACCCAAACAATTATTTTTCTATTTTCTTCCTTTTTCTCTTTGTCCAGCATTATTTGCATCCTGTGTACCTGAATGACCTGCAAGTTAGAACATGTGTGTAGTATGAAGGATTCATTAATAAGTGCAATGTTATGCGTGCAATTGAACTGAATTTGCTGGAGGAACCCACCCGATGGATTAATAAAGTTTTATCCAATCCAATCTAATCCAGTACTAGGAAGTGTATTACCACCCTCACTATGATTGCTACATTCCTTCCTTTATTTCTATTTTCCTTTTTTTATTTGCTTTGTCTATATCTTGTAAAAAGTGTAACTTGACCTGGAGGGCTCTGCACAATAATTCCAGTGTGCATGGACTGTTGGTCCTGTGCGCAAATTGCAAATAAAAACCTTCAATCTAGAAATAGAATTACCTGGTCCTGATCATCAGAATCAGAAGACTTTATTTATCCCCAAGGGGCCAATTAACCAACAACAGAGCAGCACAACGCTGAAGACAAGGACAATAAGAAGAGGCAAAAGGAGTGAGATAATAAATAAATAAAAGTATATGGACAAATAAATGAGTGCCTCAGTGGTTGTGATTTGGCTTATGTTAATGAACTATGACATAAATCATCACGTTCGTTATGACTATAAAGAACTGTCTTCTTTTGGTATTTTCGGGGGCAAAGGAAACACATGTTGTAAAATCTCATTCTAATTATTTCAGTCTCAATGATTCAGCAAAATAAAAAATAAAGAAAGTATAAATGCTGAGCTTCACCATTGCAAATAATAATAATAATACTATTATATGAGGTATATGTAATACTGATTCAAATGCTAATTTAAAACAATAAATAAAATGTTATTAATTCAAAACATGGTATTTGATGATACAAATGTATGTTTGGGCTTCCTGTCGGTTCTAAAAGCTGAGCGACATATTTTCTTTTTCTATCTTTACAAAAACACATAAATACACAATCCTCCGAGTCAGCATCGTATCTGAGGTTTTTTTATACATCTGGAAAGTTGATTTAAAAATAATTTATAAACTTACTTTATATTTTTAGCCACTGGCAATCTGGGGCTTTAACAAAAATAACTGCCTAGAAAGTCAGTGATGTAGTCTAAGAGCTGTTTTTGGTGGCAGAGTGAGATCTCTTCCCTTCTTCACTCCTCTCTGAGTCCAATCTCTGCTGCTCAAAAACCCGCAGGCTTTTATTTTGAAATGCAATCAGGAGAGGGTACTAGCTCCATCTGGTGGCTCCAAAACGAACAGCATTATCATCGCTCAACAAGAACGACGATCGTTATCATGATGACGATGGTCAGACGATGAGGATGATGATGAGTATGATGTGTGGGTGTGACAGTCATGTGTTTCGTTTGGAGTTACAGAAAACTGATGACAGATAAAAATGAAAGAGATTTGTTTCTCTGAATATTTGCTGCCTCCAAACCATCAACGTGTCTTTTAGACCCCATTCCTACAAAACTGCTCAAAGAAGTCCTGCCATTAATTAATGCTTCGATCTTAAATATGATCAACCTATCTCTAATAATCAGCTATGTACCACAGGCCTTCAAGCTGGCTGTAGTTAAACCTTTACTCAAAAAGCATCTCTAGACCCAGCAGTCTTAGATAATTATAGGCCAATCTCCAACCTTCCTTTCATATCAAACATCCTTGAAAGAGTAGTTGTCAAACAGCTAACAGATCATCTGCAGAGGAATGGTTTATTTGAAGAGTTTCACTCAGGTTTCAGAGCTCATCACAGCACAGAAACAGCTTTAGTGAAGGGTACAAATGATCTTCTTATGGCCTCTGACAGTGGACTCATCTCTGTGCTTGTCCTGCTAGACCTCAGTGCAGCGTTCGATACTGTCGACCATAATATCCTATTAGAGCGATTAGAACATGCTGTAGGTGTTACAGGTACTGTGCTGCAGTGGTTTGTATCATATCTATCTAATAGACTCCAGTTTGTGCATGTAAATGGAGAGTCCTCTTCACACACTGAGGTTAATTATGGAGTTCCACAGGGTTCAGTGCTAGGACCAATTCTGTTTACATTATACATGCTTCCCTTAGGCAGTATCATTAGAAGACATAGCATGCATTTACACTGCTATGCAGATGACACCCAGCTCTATCTGTCCATGAAGCCAGATAACACACACCAATGAGTTAAACTGCAGGAATGTCTTAAAGACATAAAGACCTGGATGGCCGCTAACTTTCTGCTTCTTAATTCAGATCAAACTGAGGTTATTGTACTCGGCCCTGAAAATCTTAGAAATATAGTATCTAACCAGATTCTTACTCTGGATGGCATTACCTTGGCCTCCAGTAACGCTGTGAGGAACCTTGGAGTCATTTTTGACCAGGACATGTCCTTCAATGCACATATTAAACAAATATGTAAGACTGCGTTCTTCCATTTGTGCAACATCTCTAAAGTTAGAAATATCCTGTCTCAGAGTGACGCTGAAAAACTAGTTCATGCATTTATTACTTCCAGGCTGGACGACTGTAATTCATTATTATCAGGAAGTCCTAAAAACTCCCTGAAAAGTCTTCAGCTAATCCAAAATGCTGCAGCAAGAGTGCTGACAGGGACTAGAAAGAGAGAGCAGATTTCTCCTGTTTTGGCTTCCTGTTAAATCCAGAATTCAAAATCCTGCTCCTCACATACAAGGTCTTAAATAATCAGGCCCCATCTTGTCTTAATGACCAGTGTTGGTGAAGTTACTTGAAAAAAGTAATCAGTAACTAATTACTGATTACTTCCCCAAAAAAGTAATCCCGTTACTTTACTGATTACTTATTTTCAAAAGTAATTAATTACTTAGTTACTTAGTTACTCTTTAAAAACACGATTTACAACCTGAAGAGGTGATAGAGCGATAGATCTTTCAGCCCAATTCTACTTTTTCTGCATAATCCATCATACAAAATGTAATCAAATGGAAAAGTCTCTTTTTTTTAAACTTGTTTTATCAGTTTTAATCTTTTAACTTTATGCATCAAGCAAAAATTTAATTATCTGCAACATTCTCTGACTGGAAGAGTTTAACATTTAAACCTATTTTCTGCACATTCCAGCACATAAAATAAAATATTTTGTGTGTTTACACTCACTCTTTCAAATAGATGCAAGTAAAACACAGCAGAAAATAAATAAAGTCAAAACCTCAGCGGTCCTGTTGCTCTATTTTCACCTGTAAAGCAGGAGTGGGGTAGGCGGAGGTTTACCCTGGTGCAGGTGTGCCGCGGTCAGTGGAAGAATCCGCGAGTTTCTCTGTGAGTTTCCCATTACGTCGTAGCTACTCGGTGCTTGCTCGGAAGTTTATGGGTTTTTTCGCTGTAAAAAGAAGTTTTCTTCCCACGCACAGCGGACACTAATGTTTTTGTCACTTTTTATGGAATCAAACTCAAAGTAAGGTCAGTACTTCCACGCTTTAAACGCTGCACGCTCATACTCTCTCTGCACTCGATATATGATCCATTGTTGATCTGCACACAGCTGTTGTCACGAACGGCGCACTCGCTTACGTCACTGTCATGAGATACTCTTGCAGAAAAATAACGGTTTTAGTAACGCAGTAACGCAGCATTCCTACAGGAAAGTAACGGTAATCTAATTACCGTTTTTGCAATAGTAATCCCTTACTTTACTCGTTACTTGAAAAAAGTAATCAGATTACAGTAACGCGTGCCCATCACTGTTAATGACCTTGTAGTACCATATCACCCTATTAGAGCACTTCACTCTCGCTCTGCAGGCCTACTTGTTGTTCCTAGAGTATTTAAAAGTAGAATGGGAGGCAGAGCCTTCAGTTTTCAGGCCCCTCTTCTGTGGAACCAGCTTCCAGTTTGGATTCAGGAGACAGACACTATCTCTACTTTTAAGATTAGGCTTCAAACTTTCCTTTTTGCTAAAGCATATAGTTAGGGCTGGACCAGGTGACCCTGAATCCTCCCTTAGTTATGCTGTAATAGACGTAGGCTGCCAGGGATTCCCATGATGCACTGAGTTTTTCTTCTTCACTCACTATGTATTAACAGACCTCTCTGCATTGAATCATATCTGTTATTAACCTCTGTCTCTCTTCCACAGCATGTCTTTATCCTGTCTTCCTTCTCTCTCCCCAACCAATCACAGCAGATGGCCCCGCCCCTCCCTGAGCCTGGTTCTGCTGGAGGTTTCTTCCTGTTAAAAGGGAGTTTTTCCTTCCCACTGTCGCCAAAGTGCTTGCTCATAGGGGGTCACATGATTGTTGGGTTTTTCTCTGTATGCATTATTGTGCGATCTACTTTACAATATAAAGACCTTGAGGCGACTGTTGTTGTGATTTGGCGCTGTATAAATAAAACTGAATTGAATTTAATGTAGAAACATTTTGTAACACCTGCCAGATTTCATATGTTTTAGTTTATTATTTCAGTTTTAGCTTAAAATTGTTGATTTGTGATTGCACATTCAGGAGCTGAATATATTTTTATTTTCTTGCTTCTTAAACAAATCTTCATATCAGAAAAATGAATCAATTAGATGTTTCCAGAAGATGCTTCCAGGTGTTTGAAGTGCTCAGTTTATTCAACCTGCAACACAAAAACTCTTCAAATGTTCAAAACCTGTTAAACAAAAAGTAAAGCAGAGTTCTTCACTCACAGTATGACATCATTACTTACAAACACTCAAAAATAACAGTGAACAGACGCGTTAGCTTGTCTTTTTTTCACAAACTGATCCTGACATGCCGCATGCACACATTCATCCTCAGAAAAACACACAAACTGTATAAAAGTACAATTCAGAGTAAAAACTGTACACCGGCACACAAACTGGTCAGTGTGCCAGTCAGACCGAGCAGAGGTGGATTTCAGCAAAGGCACGGTTCTCTGCAGGGAGACAAACGCTTTCATTTAAATCACAGAATAAAACTAAAGTTTAAATCAAAGAATCAGAGGCTCCGTTCACACTACTCAACAACCAAAGTTTATAAGCTGTGCTCAACCCAAAAGCTTACTTATTTGCAGTTCCTCTACTGGTCACTAGGTGTAACTAAAACACCTCGCCTGTACTAGCAAATTAAAGATGAAAAAATCTAATTTTTCTCCAGAAAACAGTGTAGTACTTTAAAAAAATAAAATAAAAATTAGTTCCAAGCTCCTCTTGTTCTTTTACCAAACGTTTCACAATTCCGAAAGTTTCTGTTTGCTTAGTTGCAGTTCCTCTAGTGGCCACCTGAGGCTGCTATAACATACGAAGTGTGTTCAGATGCTTTTCATTCTTTTATGTGAGTTTTATTTTATTTTTCAAAAAAGAATCATATTATATTGTTATGGGGGTTAGTTGGGGTTCCTCTCATGGCCTCTAGATGTTCCCAAAACGATTTGTAGTGAAATGCAAAAATAAAATTACATTTGAAAAAATTACAACAAAACCCCCCATTATAGTCATTTTTTAAATTCATCTCTTAGAAACTTATCACAAAGTCTTTTCTGTTTATAGAATGATTTAATATAATGAAAGTTCCATTTGCGCAATTGCACTTCCTCTAATCACCACCAGAGGCCACTAAAACACCACAGCAGTGTTAAATCAGTTTGGGAAGTAAACAAAGTCAGATGATTTTAATTATTTTATATACTCTATTATTCCGTTTGTAACAGTCACAGTGGTGTGGTGTCTCTTTAATGTAACATAAGTCAAGGGGTTATGAGGTCATTAGTGTGCACCACTGCCCTCTCTGATTTATGGGAACAAAGTGCTTGCTCTCCAGAAACCTTTGCAACGTTACGGGCTGTATGAACACTGTGTGTCATGTTTGATAAGTAGCAGCCGTTCAACCGGGCCTTGTATGGTTGATGAAGAGGAGGTGCATTAACGGATATGCTGTGGAATTCCCAGTACCAGTGTGATCGTGTATTCTTCCTGCTATCCTGCTAAGGTTTCGACCGCCTCCTCTCAACCACTGAACACAACCCAACATTACAACGGAGTTTAACTCAACAAAGGACTGGAATTGAATTACATTGTGGTTTGCTCTGTTGTTGGCCACTAGGTGGTGCTAAAACATGCTGCCTTTAATGACAAAAGCGGAACAAAGTAAAAAAACAAAAACGTAGATTTTTTTAAAGGAAAATCCAGCTTTCAGAAACACAATGCTTCTTCTGTTTACAGAATTTTTTAATACACCAAGAGTTTCTGTTTGCTTAGCTGCACTTCTTCTAGTGGCCACAGGAGGACGCTAAAATAGGGTGACTGGTTATTAGAACATGAACCATGGCGTAGTTTTTAAAATGTAAAAAAGTCTTTATGTGCTTAATGATTAAGTCTTAGCAGAGAACAAGTCAAATGAAAGATCTGAATTAAGTTGTGGTTTGCTGATGTTCCTTTAATGGCCAAGAGAGGCTCCTAAAAACTGTCTTTGTATTAAAAACGTATGAAAATTAACAGAGAAACGCTTTTAAAAACCTTCACTGAAGTCCGTTTCCCCAACTGTAATGATCTAAGTACATATAAGATTATTCTGTGTTTTACAACCATGAGAGCAGCCACATGTTTGATGCCACAAAAAAAATAAAGAAAATACAAAGTCTAATCTTTTTCAGATTTGGGAGGATTCACGGTCTGCAGTGTGGGCGGAGCCATTGTGTTGTTAACAGTCAGACTAAGGTTATCACATTTACAGTGTAGTTAAAACACACACACACATAAATCATCATGAAATCAGTACTTAAACTTAACCACGTGATGCCAAACGCTCTGAAACAAACATGAATCAAATAACTAATCATTTGCACGCAGCAGTGACGATATACTAGCGTCTCAATAAAGATCACACTGTCGAATAAATATGAAATTCAAGGTTATTTCTCCCCCCGAAGCACGTGAAGTCGAAGAGCTGTCTCACCTGAGCAGGTTCACCTGAACAAACAAGTCCAAATGCACCTTAGTGCGGCGTGAGAGCAGAAGCACACCTGCACTTGGAGCCCAACAGCTTCTGTGGTCAGTTTAACGTTTCCAGTTTATCTAGACTCCGTCACTCATACAGTATCTCTGTGCGTTTAGATGCGGTTTTCACATTTAAAACATCTGGAGGTTCACCTGCTCAGGCGGGGCCACAGAAACGTGTCACCTGTCGTGTGTTCATGCCCCCAGAGTCGGAGTAGTGATGACAGGTTGCAACGTCAGAAACACTTTTCAGTCTTTTTTATCTCCAATTTGCTGCTGTTTATAGATTTTTCAGCTTCTCTGCAGTCTGTTGTTTCACTTCGTATTGCCTCATAAAAACTTTCATATAATTTTATTTTAGTCTAAAAGGGAAATAAAAATATTAAAGTCGCATTCAAACAGTCAACAGAGGCACATTACCAAAAATAGTCCAAAAATGGTGAGAACAATATCCGCTATACGGAGTCCAGAGAGTGCCACTCTACAAAGTTTAATTATAATAAATTTGTAATTTCATTCATATGAAATAATTCACAAGTTAACTTGAAATTTTAAACACTACAAACCAAGCCAAAAAAAAGTACTAATAAAACTTTATAATTTTTATTTCTGACATTTTTTTTCATGAAAATAATAACTTTATCAAAATAATTAAAAAAAACTCTCTTAACCCTCTTAACCCTAAATATCCCACTACTTTAACCCCGTGTTTAAGAGAAAAATAAACATACTTCATACACTCTGTTATTGATATTTATTAGAAAGAATTTCTTCCTCATATTATAATATTATTATTTAGACTTACTTAAATATCTATTTAATCCTTATTGCATAGCTTAGCCAGTTTAATATTTTTGTTGTTATAAGTTTGATTATTATTATTAAACACTAAAAAATATAATATTTAATTTGGCACCTTGCAGACTCCCTACAGTCACCTGTATTTCTGCAGCTCAGCAGTCTCTCACACACACACACACTTTTTCGGGTAGAAAAATAAACCACAGTCTGTGATGCGACGGGTCGGATGGATCTGAAGCAGAATCATCAGGCAGCAGAAATTTGAAATTTGCACAAAAAAAAGAAAAAAACCCAGCGTTTCCACACATGTTGGTGGCGTGATGAGGCGTGATCCGGCGGGTTTACACGTTGATGGCGTGAGCGTGCTTCTTGCACAGAGGTTTATCTTTCTTTGAGTAGAAGGGCTGACCCTCGAGGTTCACGTGGCAGACCTGCAGACGAGAAAACCGGGGTGAAAAACTTCAAACTGACCTCTGCTCCCCTGCATCGAAGATTTAAACAACCGGACCCCCTCAGACCCAGCTGCTCGTGGTCCTTACCGCACAAACAAAGCAGGTATCGTGCCAGGTGTGACCCAGAGCCTCGATGAACTTATCGCCAGCTTCCACTGGGAAGTCGCACCCATGACACTTAGTGCTGAACAGCGCGATGTAATCTGAGCGACACAGAGATAGGAAGTGTTGAAGATGGCAGCCGTGAGTCCAAAAACAGTGAATCATGAAGTACGTAATCCCTGTTAATCTGTTTCACACACTTCTACTCTTGGATCTTTTTGATGTCACACAGGGCACACAGAAGCTCCACACACTTGTTGTTTGTGGGGGCAGGGCCAATCAAAAGAAAGAGGAGTTAAAATTGAGGGGCTGCACTGAGACTCTGATTAGCAGTTCCTTCTCTGAGCGTGATGCATGTGACAGTTTTTTGTGTCTGCCTGATGTCGGTGCAGCTTTTCTCGCAGCTGTGATGAAGGCGTGGTGTTGGCATACCTTTCTCGCAGTACGGCTCTCCGTCCTCCATGTGGAAGAGGCTGTTTCCAAAGGCTTTCCCACAGGCAGCGCACACAAAGCAGGTGGTGTGCCATGTCTGCCGTAGGGCGTGCATCACTTCCTGCGACATACAGCGTGACAAGATTTAATAAGGTCTAATCAGCCTCTAGTGTCACATATGGGTGGCATTTCAGTGCAAAACTTATGGTTTTATAACATTAAATAAAGGAAAATAAAATCAGAAATGGTGTCTGAAAATTTCTCACCCCCATGATCTTGGTGTTGCAGCGAGCGCAGGTCGGGGCGAAAAACTCTTCGTAGCAGTTCTCACAGTACACGTTGTTCTGTTCCTCCACGAAGCTGACGTCAGCCAGAGACATGTGGCAGTAGTGACAGTTAAACTCCTCGGGGTGCCAGGACCGGCCGAGGGCCACCAGGAATGGACCCCTGCAACAACAGCAGCAGCATTTTAAGTAATTTGATTTTAATTTGCCCTTAAAGTGACATCGTTTCATTAACGTCACTCGTTTTAACCCAAAGGAGGAACCTCAGGAGCAAAATAATAAAGCACCAACAGCTGCAGTTCCTCTGATCTCCACTTGAGGCTCCAGAAGTGTGTCAGTGCGTTACCTGATGACGCTGTTGCAGGCCCCGCATAGAGGCGTGCGACTGCTGGCTGCAAACCTCTCCGCTCTTTGGGCCACGCCTCTGGCCACAGGTGGAAAGGGGGCGGGGCTAGAGGTCATGGGTCCAGGGCTGGGGGTGATGGGGGCGGGGCTGGGAGCTGCATGCCCAGCAGGGGAGGGGTTAGGGATGTACGCTGGTGGGGGAGGGGCGGCCTGGGGCAGTGGCTGCACCTTGATGGTGCTGGAGGTGGTCTTGCCGGGGTCGAACTTATCAGCGAAGTTTGAGTCAGTCACCCACGGGGGTCTGTTGGAGGATGCTGGAGCAGCCAGAAGCGGGGCCGGGGCGGCGGCTGGAGGGCGGTGCTGCGGTGGCACTGCAGCTGGAGCCATAGGTGGTGCTGTGGGTGGAAGAAGTATAAATATGTGTATATAAATATTATATGTGCAAGTTAATATAAACAAAACAGAAACTCACCTGGCTGTGAAGGGTAGATGCAGGCAGTACTGACTACCTTAGGGGGGGCGGAGCCAACAGGGATCTGAATTGAGCTCTGTTGAGTGGGTGGAGCCTGCTGTGTGGGTGGTTGTTGGTACTGCTGTGGCATTGGTTGATACTGCTGTGGGGGCCGAGCTTGTGGAGCTTGCTGCATAGGTGCATGTTGGTATTGCTGTGGTATTGGCTGGTACTGCTGTGGGTGTGGAACTTGTGGCGCCGGCTGCATGGTAGGATGTGCACCGTACTGGCTGGAGAGGGAAAGAAATGTCATTATTACCTATTTAGAATGATTTCCAAATGGTTCTGTCATCAGGTTCAGTTTTGTACTTGGGGGCTCGTCCGGGATTTTTAGTCATAGTGAGCCTCAAGTAGTTAGCCTCAGTGGTAGTTATGGTATTAACTACTTCAGGTTGTACTCAAAAAAAACTTTAACTAAGCTAAGCATGTTTCGAACCACAAGCTAAGTTAGTCATCAACACTGACTCAAATTGTAATCTCATCAATGGGTGTAAAGATCCTGAAAGATGCGTTTTTCATTGTTGTGTCTGACTTTTAGGCTGTAACACTGTGTTATTAAGAATTTAATGCTTTCTTCTAGCAGTTTCCATCTAATATATGTGGAATTCACTAGATTTACTTTGATAAATATTCCAACATTGAATGAAGTTTTAGCTGATATTATTGATGTCTTTGACATGCTTACATGTTCGTGCATTTCATTAGCTATATCAGATATTTAAGATAAAGATAAAGTTTTGCTGTTGTTACACACACAGTAGAGCTGGGTACATAGGAAATCTTCTGCAGAGCTTAGAGTCAAACAAATACTATATACATGTAGTATTTATATTATGTAGTCATTTATCCATGTGATTAGAGTGGATCAGAAACGCTTTTAAAAACTTTTTAAAAATTAATAGCTCCATCAGTGGAGCTATTAATTTGAACTACATTTCAACAATCAATTTAATTTCTAGCTAGCTTTTCTAGAGCACATTTAACTATTTTCACTTTTTCTATATATTTATGAATTTTCAGCTAAAAAATGACCCATAACGTTGAACTCTTTCAGCAGTTTTGCTGATTTTAGTGTTAACCATGTGCTTTTCGGGTTTAGGTAACTGTTTCTGCTGGTTTTAAATTTCTCTCTAAACTGTTTAACTAACCTTTCTTCTAATTTTTGTGAATATGGCGGTTAGGGTTAGTCTAGGCTTCCAAGCATCCCCTGAGGTGCAGATACTCACTGTTTTTAAACAGAAACCTCTACAGACCACATTCAGGTTTGGTTTGCATCCTGGACTGAGTCAAAAATGCTCTTAAACTGGTTCTAACTGTGAATCGTCATCTGAATATAGATAAGTTGCAGTAAACAGTGATTACAGCCAGGCTGCTGCACTGTTTTATGAATCAAAAATGTAATTTGTGAGCCAAAAGTTGGGCTTTGGAGTGATTCGAATGTTTATGATGTTTTTACACTCTCTGGATGTGTCAATATAATATTGTCACAGACAACAAGCATATAGAGACTAGCATCAACAGCTTGTTTGAAAGAAAGAATAAAATGTTGAGCAGGACAGAAGCACAAAGGGTCCTCTTTCAAGAAGTGTTGACAGGTTTTGGGGTGTAAACCTGCAGTTTTTCTTTCTGGGGGTATCAGTCTCAGGTCTGGGTGTTTAGCAGCAGCTTAGCTGTATCAGACTTACCTGATGTAAACAAGGTTAGTGTTAGGGTAGAGGGCTTCAAACCAAAACTGAATTCAGCTTCATTAACAAACAGCAACAAAAGCTTTAAGGTCCTTCCTTCAGAGGGCGTTAGCAGAGACTCAGCCTGTTATTCAGCTGATGAAATGATGGTGAGGTTACTGACTGTTACTCAGGTGTTACATGATCCTGACAGAACTGCCAGAGTTATGGGTTCAAACACCACCCGTGCACAAAACCCTAACAATCCACTTGTGTGCCGCCAGGAGTTTTAGCTGAAGAAGCCTCCGTTTAAAAGCAGCTGCTGTGTTACTGAGTGCTGTGAAGCCCACGGCCGCGAGCGCACCTGCCCGCAGGGGTTTGTACCTGGAGACTGCAGCTCTGTACTGGAGGCCGAAACCAGCGGCAGGCTGTCTCTTCAGGCTGCGGGCATAGAGACAACAGCAGCAGAGGTCATCCAAACTGAGACGCTACGTCCCCATCCTGACCCCCGCTCTCTCCCCCATGATGTTACTCAGGTGCGACTCGGATTGACCATCAACCTTTTTCTTTCTGTCTAACAAATAATCAATAATCAAATCAGGACCCAAAGACCCAAAAATAAGAAACTTCATCGCCTTCACCAGACCAACAACGCCACAGACAGAAGATCCTTCAGGAAACTGCCAGACAGCTTAAAGACAGCCGACAGGATGACGTCACCTCGCTGCTTTGGTCTCAGAAACATTGGATCAAATGTCAAAAAGGTTTTTTTCTATTCTGCAAAAACATTTGTACAAAGCACAGAGATCAAACCAGAGGAAACTCTGACACGATCACTCAGATGTGGTTCCTGAAAGACAGTAATGGCTCTGAAGCGTGACAACTATGTGGATTTAGTTCAGTGTAACTCCAGCAAATGAAGAAACAACAAAAAGCCGAAAAACAAGCAGATGAAACCCACATGTCAGACTCTCCCTTCAGCACGTGAATGCAACACTGAAAGTCTGGGAGCATATATCCTTAAAAAAATCACATCAACACACCAAAGCTTTGGAGAGCCAAGAGGTGATTATTATTTCCTGCTGAGCAAATAGACCATTTGTCCAGGTTTTTATTTTATTTTACTGAACTCTGTTTTATTCCCCATGTCCCGTCGTGTGCTGATGTCATGGCTGATCTCAGCTCTTAACCCCTTGATTTTCTTCTTCCTTGCACTCTTTGCAACCTTGTCACTGTGTCTCTTATAATCATCGATGAAGCTGTTTAAGCTGCACAGACCTGCATGAAAAGAAGTCAGCGTAAGCCCAGGTGGATTTAAACACTCTGATTATCTCAGTTTTTTCCTCTTGGATCTGGATGGTGTCATAGAGGGTGGATATTCCTAATATAGTCATCGCAGACGCCAAAAGCCACACCCACCAAACTTGGCCTAAATGCAGGAGGAGGAGCTAAAACAGCTTGTTTCAGACGCAGGATGAACTGTGACTCATGCAAAGCTGCAGAGCTTCTATTTAACAGATTAGCTCTGCTTTAAAGGAACAGAGAGACATCGTAGGACATAAACTTTTATTCTGAGAGTGTTTTCCTGCACACGATAGATTATTTTGATTTGTGAAACATGCAAAGCTACTTCAGAAAGGCTTTTAAAAACCTAATTTATTTGCTTCTACTCAGTTTTTCTTTCCATGGACAGAGGAATAAGACAAAGGATTTTATATTTAGCCAACCAACATGTGTTTGTTAGTCAGAGATAAGCCAGTCAGCACTAGTCATTCTACATTAGAGGTGTACGGACACCAGCTCCTTGTTTCAGGCTGAGGACTTTGCTGCACAAAGCCATTCAGATAAATAAGAAATAATTAAAACTTGTGCCAGAATAAGAACACAGATCCTGAGATAAGCAGAATAAACCACCTTTAACTGATAGATTTTTCCATTTCCCAGCATGATCGGGATCATGAAGCTGGATTTTGCAGTGAAAATTTTCTTTCTGTGTCTTTGCTTCTCTGCTTTGAGGCTTCCAGCTCAGCCCTGTGAGTCTAATCCAGCTGCTTCCTCCTTGATGACTTACAGCTAAAGAGAAAAAAAGCACACAGTCTCTTTATTGGCGGATAAAAGCTTGACCTCTGCTCCTATTGATTCACGGTGAGTCATTGGACGGCGTATGGACTCTGACGAAGGACAGAGGGGAGCCGGAGCTTTGAGGGGGAGGAGGTTGTATTTCAGTCCAAATTAGGTGGGGGGGCAGAGATCGATGGTGCATAATGGAGGGTTGATAAAATAAGTGCACGGAGAATAGAAAGCTCCATCCATCAGAGCTGGGACGGGCTGTACGGGTGGGGCGGGGTTGAAAGGTTTGCTCGTCCTCTCGGAGACTCGGCTGTGATGAGATTTCAGATGAGCCGCTGGGGAAACAGGAAGTCATGGAAAACAGACTGAGGGCAGTGACACCTTCAGAGGTCGTCAGCGGACGTTCGGCCCAGCCCTCACCTGCAGCTCACCACACCTGGCTTGTCTGACAGCGCGGACTCTTAGACTGTCCTCGGCCACATAAAGCCCTGTTTAGGACTTCTGAGCCACGCAAGGTTTAAGGTGGTGTAACTGAGATATAAGTAGCCATGTGTCTGCCGTCTGAGGCACCTGATCCCTGAAACCAGCATTAGACCCAAAACTCTTAAACACAGACACTTATTTGCACATGCTAACTCACAGCAGCCTGTTTAAACTGGGCATGCTCCAAACCTGACAGTCTCAGCTGTTCATGTTTCTGCAGGTGAAATGTGGAGATTTTAACTGCGAGCTGTGAGCTTCACCGCCTGTTGATAACCTGATGTCTGCAGAGTCCTGCAGAGTGTCGAGTACCTGCAGGCTGCATACTTTAGTTTGACTGTATGACGTCACACAGGCTGAGAGTAAAAAGTCTGCTTTGTCACATTTGCGGTTTTTGCTTGACTTTCAATTTTTCCTGCCTCGGCTAAACGTGACAATAAAGAGCTGGAGGATGACTCTCCTCTGCACACTGGTTTTCTCTCTTTAACCAATCAACACCAGTTACCAGTAATCAATAAAGAAAGGACCAAAGAGGCGGGGAGTCCCTCGTGGTGCCCCACCAATTTTTTAAATGATGTTTCCTCTGAGCAAATACACACACACACATTCTCGTTTTGATATCTCAGTGAGGACATCTATTTGACAGAATCCCTAGCTACTCACCTCAACCAAAAATGAACCCCAGCCATAACCTAACTGTAACCCTGAGACTAAACCCACACTATGAGCCTCAAAAATGCCTTCAAACCCGTGAGGACGAACACTGTCCCCACAAGGACGTCGAAACAGGTACACACACACACACACAGTCCGGTGTCCCCTCCTGCTGGTCACATGAGCTCATTACACATGAGCAGATTCAAAAGGCTTCAGACACCAACCAATCACATCGCGTTTACGTATATATCAGAGCCTCAAACAGAGACCACCTGTGCAGGTGTTCTCATGTCCGGGGCAGATGAGGTCGAGACTACAGGTGAGGGGGTCAGCAGCTGACTACTGGAGCTCTGCTGCCTACCTGCTCCTCTTCACAGCCGCCGCCTCCTCTTCAGTGAGCGCTGTAACAGAAACAGAGGAGAGGGGGCGACACTGAGCACCTGATGATCAGATTTAACTTTAAAATCATTCCCACAGGTAATCGTTTACTCTAATTACACACCTTTGTTTGTATGGAAACATACATGAGTCTGTTCTTGCTTTTATTTGCTCTTTTAAATAATTGAGGACAATACGGGGAAGAGGAAGAGGAGGAAGAGGAGGAAGAGGACACTTACAGGACTCGGTGCCGGTCATGTGGGCCAGGACCTGGAAGGACTTGGACTGCACGTTGGTGCTGCGGCGGCTCCATTCGCTCAGCTCCGGGTCCTTCTCTGTGCTCTGGACGGCCTGATAGACCAGCGAGGCGCTGTCCACGAGGCGGTCCATGACTGGGACAGAACTGGGACCACAGACAGGGGGCGCCACGTCGCCCACGACCAAAGCGAGTGAAAAATAAAGAGACAGTGAAGCACGAGCTGTGGGCCCAGCAGTGAATGGAAACAAGTTTTCCCTGCCCAAAGTTTTGACGTCCTTCTAACCCTGGAATTAAATATCTGATATTTCAAAGGTCACACGAACAAAACGTTACTGAAGGTGATGGAGCAAAGAGGAAGCCGGACTCGCATGTCTGAGGACGGTTTGTTAGAAAAAGGAACAAACGGAGATAAAACACAGAAAGAGGCTCAGAACATTCAGCTTTGAGTCTCTTTGTGTATCTCACGTGTTTAATTTGTGCATCTTTGTGACTTTATTCCATCTGTTTTTCTGTCTCTTCTTTTTGTCCAGCCCAGGCAGACCTGAACCTTTCTGCTCATTTCTACTTCCTTATTTATGTTCTTTGTCTTGTCCTGCACCTCGCAGCAGCTCACCCTGTTTGAAACCAGCTGTTCTGCCTGCTTGCTTCTGATTGGCTCTCTCTTATAAACAGAAACCTCGGCAGGGTTTTTGCAGCTTTGGTCATTTTTCTGAACATCCACCAGTTTGTGCTGTGAAGTCAGTTTCTTCTCTTTCAGGCTGTTTTCAGTCTTTTAATCTTTGTGTGGATGTTCGGGTCTCTTTGTGGTTACAGATGCTAACATTAAAAACTATTAATGACACCATTGTGTTGTTTTCCATCTTTCTGAGGTTTTTTTTAGTAGTTTGAAATCTTTTATTGTTCTTTAAGGCCCCTCTACCTGCAGTGCACCTGTATTTGGCTCCGCCCTGCAGGACTGCAGCCTGTCGGCTGATTCTGGTGACACGTGTCATGTTTCTGTCTTGTGTTTGATGTTTGATCTTTCAAAGCTTTAACACAACTCAGGGGAACCAAAGCTTTTACTGGCTCTCAGTGAAGGACGCACGGTGAGGGAGGAGGAGGATATCATACTGGACTGTAATTGGTTTTCCAGAGATGCCCCCTCCTGTACAGATGAGTAGTTTTATTCAGGCTTATATTTCAATAAGAGCGGCTTTATCGGGGTCTAAAATTAGAGAGGCTGAAATAAAGAATGGGCATGGAGACCTTTGGAGGGGGACAGTACACAGCGACAGCGCTACATCTCAGAGGAAGAGCAGGCGAGGAAGACACCACCAAAAACACAGCAGTAACATGACTTTATCAGCAGTTTCTGACAAATCAGTGCGACTAGAAATGCATTCGGCAACAAGACGATAGGTAACAGGGTCAAACGTGATCACGAGCGAAGAAATTGGGATGACCTGCTCAGACAGAGGGAACGTCTCTCTGGGGGACATTTGACTCGGACTGGTCCACCTCATACGGACCGACTCCCACAGCACACCCGAGGCTTCAGCCACACAACACACGACGCACAAAAAAACAGGATCCCAGAGCAGCCCGAACCAAAAATTCTGCTTTCTGATATCACGGAAACCTTAGCAGTTCCTCGAAGCCACCACAGAAGAAGTCCCCCTCTCCCCACATGTGCACAAACAGGCAGCACAATATTGCAGCACCAAAATCATCACCACCAGTGTCAGCGATGAGCCGGACGTGAAGCGGGCTGAGACCAAAGAGGACGGACAGAAAGGAGAGGACAGGTGGAGGACACTTAAATAGAGTAAAGAGAAGAAAAGGGAGGAAGAGGCAACGAAGGGAAAAAGACAAAAACAACAAATGAAAAGTAATTTCTCATCAAGAAATATCTGTGGGTTGAGTACTCGAAGCATCAGCCTGTAAACTGAACGCTGCTGCCTGTAACACATCCACGTGTTAGAAAACTACAAATATGGATGATCAGCCCTCAGCAGGACTGATAGTAACTGTGTTAGTCATTACCCAGGTGGTGTTGTGGCTTTTGATGTTTTTGATACTGAGTGTAAAAAACTGGTGGCAGGGTTGAGGGGTGCACGTGGGTACAGAAGAGGAAGATGAGGATGTCAGGAGGAAGAATTAGAGATAAGTCAACGTAGAAAGAGGGAAGGAGGACGTGGAGAGGGAGGAGGAGGTGGTGTTCATACCCAGCGTCATGGCCCTTGGTCTGTGTTTGTCCCGCAATGGCGTCCATGATGGAGTCCTGTGAATACATACTGATGGGCGTGTTGTACTGGGCGTGGATGATGGTGGCCTTACCGCCGGGGCCTTTTACTTCAATGGGCTTGCTGGTGGAGAGGGCGGAGTCCATCAGCACGCTGGGATTGAAGCCGGCACTGTCGGGTGGGGGAAAAGGTGGAGATAAAGGAGGCGATGGAGGGACGGAGGTGAGGCGTGTGGGTGAAGGTGATGGGTTTGTCATGCTCACAGCAGACGGACTAGTGAGGCTAAAGTTTTCAGGCTAAAGCTGAATGTTTCCAACAGAATCTCCATTTAAGGTGGAAACCCCACCCACAGCATCACGACAGACTACAGAAAACTCTGAGTGGCGTCCCACAGCGATCCGTTCTCCGCCCACTCAGACTCAAAAATTATGCTGACTTTGATTCATTTGATTACATGTAAAAAATGTATGTTGTAAAACAGATTCCATTAAATATAAATTAGATTTGTGTGATTGAGGTTCACAGGATTAACTGTTAATACCAAGCAGGTCTTCCTTAATTAATTTGAACAAAAGAACCTTTGATTTAATAGATTTCATCTGCTTCAGTCTGCTTCACATTCATGAGGGTGAAGAATCTTTTGTTTTTAGTGCATTATGCTCTAGATAATAACAACAAATATCAGGAATATATCTGTTTTTTATGTATATGTTTTTTAAGGCTAATAATAATAATAATAATAATAATAATAATAAATTCTCCACATGACTGTAAAGTACAACTATAACGTGTTTATTAAATCACCTCTCATGAATCAAGAAAACACAAATATTGTCTATAAATCTGTCAATAACAAAAATATCAGATCAATAGTTTTTGGGGAAAACAAAAAAGTGAATATTTTATAGCCAAATTTGTGAAGGTACAACTTTCAATAATAATCAAACCAAAATTCAAACCAAGTTTTTACAATCTGCATGTTCAGACATGCAGATTATGATGATGATGATGATTATTATTATTATTATTAATAATAATAATAATAATAATAATAATAATAATAATCATAATAATCATAATCATAATCATGATAATAATAATCTGCATGTTCAGACATGCAGATTATTATTATTATTATTAATAATAATAATAATCATAATCATCATAATCATAATCATAATCATAATAATGATAATAATAATAATAATAATAATAATAATAAGGATAATCTGCATGTTCAGACATGCAGATTATCCTTACTCCTCCTTGAATCGCTACCTTATCGTGGTGGAGGGGTTTGTGTGTCCCAGGGATCCCAGGGGCTATGTTGCCTGGGGGCTTTTGCCCCCTGGTAGGGTCTCCCATGGCAAACTGGTCCTGGGTGAGGGACCAGACAAAGAGCGATTCAGAAGACCCCCATGAAAAGAATATCGAGGGAACAGTTTACCCTGCCCGGGATAGGGTTACCGGGGCCCCGCCCTGGAGCCAGGCCCGGGGAGGGTGCCCGAGGGCGAGCGTCTGGTGGCCGGGCCTTAGTCCATGGGGCCCGGCCGGGCACAGCCCGAAGAGGAGACATGGGCCCATCCTCCCGCAGGCCCACCACCCGCAGGAGGCGCCATAGGGGTCGGGTGCATTGTGAGCCGGGTGGCGGCCAGGAGCGGAGGCCCTGGCGGACCGACCCCCGGCTGCCAAGACTGGCAATAGGGACATGGAATGTCACCTCTCTGGTGGGGAAGGAGCCTGAGTTGGTGCGTGAGGTTGAGAGGTACCGGCTAGATATAGTTGGGCTCACCTCTACGCATTGTCTGGGCTCTGGAACCAGTCTCCTGGAGAGGGGCTGGACTCTGTCTCAGTCTGGAGTTGCCCCTGGTGAGAGGCGGCGGGCTGGGGTGGGTATTCTTATATCCCCTCGGCTTGCTGCCGGTACGTTGGGGTTTTTCCCGGTGGACGAGAGGGTTTGTTCCCTGCGCCTTAGGGTCGGGGAACGGGTCCTGACTGTCATCTGCGCTTATGCGCCGAGTGGCAGTTCGGAGTACCCAGCCTTCTTAGAGTCCCTGGGGGGGGTGCTGGAAGGTGCTCCACCTGGAGACTCTGTTGTCCTGCTGGGAGACTTCAATGCTCACGTGGGTAACGACAGCGAGACCTGGAGGGGCGTGATTGGGAGGAACGGCCTCCCTGATCTGAACCCGAGCGGTGCTTTGTTATTGGACTTCTGTGCTAATCACAGTTTGGCCATAACGAACACCCTGTTCGAACATAAGAGTGTCCATAAGTGCACGTGGCACCAGGATGCTCTAGGCCATAGGTCGATGATCGATTTTGTAATCGTATCACCAGACCTGCGACCATATGTTCTGGACACTCGGGTAAAGAGAGGGGCTGAGCTGTCAACTGATCACCACCTGGTGGTGAGTTGGATCAGGTGGCGGGGGAGGACGCTGGACAGACCTGGTGCACCTAAACGCGTAGTGAGGGTGTGCTGGGAACGTCTAGCAGAGGCCCCAGTCCGCGAGATCTTCAACGCACACCTCCGGCAGAGCTTCAACAGCATTCCGAGGGAGACTGGGGACATTGAGTCCGAATGGACCATGTTCAGCGTCTCCATTGCCGAAGCTGCTGCATTGAGCTGCGGCCGCAAGGTGGTTGGTGCCTGCCGTGGTGGTAATCCCCGAACCAAATGGTGGACACCAGAGGTGAAGGGAGCCACCAGGCTGAAGAAGGAGGCCTATCGGGCTTGGTTAGCCTGTGGGACTCCGGAGGCAGCCGACAGGTATCGACAGGCCAAACGGAATGCGGCTCGGGCAGTGGCTGAAGCAAAAACTCGGGTGTGGGAGGAGTTCGGAGAGGCCATGGAAAAAGACTTTCGGACTGCCTCGAAGAGATTCTGGCAAACCGTCAGGCGTCTCAGGAGGGGAAAGCGGTGCTCTACCTGCACTGTGTATAGTGCTGGCGGAGCGCTGTTGACGTCGACTGAGAAAATTGTCGGGCGGTGGAAGGAATACTTCGAGGACCTCCTTAATCCCACTGACACGTCTTCCGGGGAGGAAGCAGAGTCTGGGGATGAGGGGTGTGACCCACCGATTTCCGGGGGCGAGGTCACTGAGGCAGTTAAACAACTCCTTGGTGGCAGAGCCCCTGGTGTCGATGAGGTCCGCCCCGAGTTCCTGAAGGCTCTGGACGTTGTAGGGCTGTCTTGGTTGACACGTCTCTGCAATGTTGCGTGGAGATCAGGGGCAGTACCTGTGGACTGGCAGACCGGGGTGGTGGTCCCCATCTTCAAGAAGGGGGACCGGAGGGTGTGTTCCAACTACAGGGGGATCACACTCCTCAGCCTCCCCGGGAAAGTCTATGCCAGGGTGCTGGAGAGGAGGGTTCGTCCGCTAGTCGAACCTCGGATACAGGAGGAACAATGCGGTTTTCGTCCTGGTCGCGGAACACTGGACCAGCTCTTTGTCCTCTCGAGGATACTTGAGGGTGCATGGGAGTTTGCCCAATCAGTCTACATGTGTTTTGTGGACCTGGAGAAGGCATTCGACCGTGTCCCTCGGGGCGTCCTGTGGGAGGTGTTGCGCGAGTATGGGGTGTCTGGCCCATTGCTACGGGCCATTCAATCCCTATACAACCGTTGCAAGAGCTTGGTTCGCATTGCCGGCAATAAGTCGGACTCGTTCCCGGTGGGTGATGGGCTCCGCCAAGGCTGCCCTTTGTCTCCGGTTCTGTTCATAATTTTTATGGACAGGATTTCTAGGCGCAGCCAAGTGGCGGAGGGCTTTCGCTTTGGTGGCCTCAGAATCTCATCTCTGATTTTTGCGGATGATGTGGTTCTGTTGGCTTCATCGGGTGAGGGCCTCCAGCTCGCACTGGAGCGGTTCGCAGCCGAGTGTGAAGCAGCGGGAATGAGGATCAGCACCTCCAAATCTGAGGCCATGGTTCTCAGCCGGAAAAGGGTGGAGTGCCCACTCCGGGTCGGGGATGAGTTCCTGCCCCAAGTGGAGGAGTTCAAGTATCTCGGGGTCTTGTTCGCGAGTGATGGGAGAAGGGAGCTGGAGATCGACAGACGGATCGGGGCTGCGGCTGCAGTAATGCGGACGCTGCACCGGTCAGTCGTGGTGAAGAGGGAGCTGAGTGTAAAAGCGAAGCTCTCAATTTACCGGTCGATCTACGTCCCTACCCTCACCTATGGCCACGAGCTGTGGGTAGTGACCGAAAGAACGAGATCGCGGATACAAGCGGCGGAAATGAGCTTCCTCCGAAGGGTGGCTGGCCTCTCCCTTAGAGATAGGGTGAGAAGTTCGGCCATCCGGGAGGGGCTTAGAGTAGAGCAGCTGCTGCTCCACATCGAAAGGAGCCAGTTGAGGTGGTTCGGGCATCTGGCAAGGATGCCCCCTGGGCGCCTCCTGGGCGAGGTGTTCCAGGCATGTCCCACCGGGAGGAGGCCCCGGGGCAGACCCAGGACACACTGGAGAGATTATATCTCTCGGCTGGCCTGGGAACGCCTTGGTATTCCCCCGGACAAGCTGGAGGAGGTGGCTGGGGAGAGGGAGGTCTGGACCTCTTTGCTTAGGCTGCTACCCCCGCGACCCGGCCCCGGATAAGCGGATGAAGATGGATGGATTATTATTATTATTATTAATAATAATAATAATCATAATCATAATCATCATAATAATAATCATAATCATAATAATGATAATAATAATAATAATAAGGATAATCTGCATGTTCAGACATGCAGATTATCCTTATTATTATGATGATGATGATTATTAATAATCATCATAATAATAATAATGATAATAATAATAATAGTAATGAGTAAATGACTAATTTTGTATCTTAAGCAGAAAACTATAATTTTTTTCTGTTTTTTGAGTACATTTAAAATCCACAGATAACAAACATAATTATATAGTTAATCTAACTGATAACAGAGCTCGTGCATACAGGTGGATTAAGCAGCTGTCACATGAACTCTGGTGACCGTCTAATAAATTCGTGCCACACTGCAGATGCTGAACCATTAGATGAATCTACCTCAAAGCTTGTTGCTGCAAAACGCTGATAAAAATACTAAATTTAACCCTTTTTTCTGCAAATATTGGACTTCCAAAGGACTCACTGGACACAAGCTGAAACCACTCCTATAAAATTTGGTCATTTTTTTGTGGGTAATAAATACAACATGAGCGATGGTCTTTACAGCTGCAGAGAAAAAGGAAAAGTCTTATTTCCACTTCAACAAAACCCAAACTGGTTTCTGCACATTGGTTAGAAACGACTGACGATGCTTTAAATTTCATGCTTGAAACATTCGCATGCGTCCACCGCAAAACGTCACAGCAGCTCATTTAAGCAGTGCGTCAAACCATGACCTTTAATCCCAGAACACAAACGTATCAGAGCAGGAACACAGCTGACATTTAGTCCACTTCACTGCTGCACAAAAACAACCTGAAGGCTGAAGCTTCTCACGCTCTAGCAGGCTTTTATTCTGAAAACTTTCCTGTAGAGTTGCCTCAGAAAAACACCAAATAATGAAAAGACCACAGAAAGCAAAATGCATCATGCAGCCAGCTGTTCCGCAATTTCAGTTTGCATGGATAATTTTGAAATAGAGTCTGTAAAGCTGCAGGACCGCACTCGCCATCACCCCACGCCATGCCTTAAACAAACACACATCCAAGATGCATTCAGCTGCAGAGGATACTAACGGTGGAGCGGCGGGGGGGAAAACCTTGCTTGACCAACAGCAGGGACAGAAGAGAGGACGAACACGTGGAAGGACAAAGGAGGGAAGACAGAGGAGAATATGATGTTAGAAAACATATTCAGCATCATTCACTGTCCATCAGAGGTCAGAGGTCACATCCTCTGTTGGCTGCTGTGACGTCCGCTCTGCGAGTGAAGAGGAAGATTTAATCACAGCCTGTTCACAGATCCCACAGATCCCAGCTTCAGGGGATGGAGCCTGAGGCAGACTTTGCTGGGGTCACGTGTCTTCTGGACATTTTTTAAAGTTTCTTTGTTTTGGTCTTCTCTTATTCTGTCTTGTCATCACAGATACATAATTATGCATAATGTTATTTATCTGTTTACCTTTTCTTAATTTACGATTCTAATTCTTTGGATTAGGATGTATTTTTCTTCTTATTGCTCCTCTTCTCATTAACAGCAGTGGTGATATTATTATTATTGTTATCAGTAATATTAGTAGAAATAATAACCAGGGGTGTGCATACTTAAGTGTAAACCTATTTATGGAAGTGCAGGAACGTATCAACGTTAACTTTGAGACGAGCTACTGTACATGATTAATATAACATGTGCGGAAAAAACACATAAATGGTGATAATCTTTGTGAGTTTCATCTAAGAAGAGTCAGCGACATATGTGCATATGGTATGATAATTACAGCAGGATCATTATTATTATGTGTGTGTGTGTGTGTGTGTGTGTGTGTGTGTGTGTGTGTCCAGAGGGTCCCCTGACCTTTAAAAGCAGCCAAACAAACTAACAGGTGTTTGGGCTCTTCGGTGACGGAGTAACTGAATCACATTATTAATGGCGCGCGCGTGTGTGTGTGTGTGTGTGTGTGTGTGTGTGTGTGTGTGTGTGTGTGTGTCACTGTATACGTGTTCGTGACTGTAAACACACACCTCCACTGCAGCTGCAGCTGATGCAGAAGTGTTTGGATCGGTCGGCTCATTGCACCTTTTTCTGTAAAGTAACGTGTGACGTGACGCTCTTCTGCTCCCAGCTTGGAAACAGTCACTGACATCGCAGCACAACACAAACTCCACATAAGGTCAAAGGCTAACGCTGAGGTGGCCTAACTCATGATTTACATAGAGACAACATTACACAGCAATCTAAGGTTAGCCAGCTAGCTGTAACTTAGCTGCACAGCACGTATCTGAGCTCCATCGCGTCCAGGTCAGCTGTTCATATTTGCAAATGCACATTGTTGCAGTGGCCTGCAGTTTGCATGGGAGACGCCAGCTTGTCTGCAAACACTTGCCAAGTACAATCTGAGAGGTGGACCTCCTTCAGGGTATGAAAACATCAAGTCCGCATTGAGAACATTAGTAAGTTTTAGAGTAAGTGTGGTGTGTGTATGGGTCGAGCTGCAGTTTAACGTGTTTTTTTTAGGACACGTGACAGCATCACTGATTTGGTTTCACTTTTATGACACTGAAGGTTCAGATGCACTCATGTTTCTCCTCTTTGGAGTCAAAGGTCAAAGGTTACTGAGATTACTGCAAGGTTAACATGAACCTATAGTATAAAAAGTCCTCTTGAAGGGGGCGGAGCTAAAACAGCTTGACCTATAGGCTGAGCAGAAGCCCAGTATCAGATAAAGAAGGATTATTTCAAACTGTGAATCATGCAGAGCTGCTGAACGAGAATCCAGGACTATAAATGTAGAAATGAGCAGAATGGGTCCACGTGAATTATTTTGTATGAACCGAGACACCGGAGACAGCAGTTACTGGTACCGCACCAAACAGGAAACGTATTTTTCTTCCTCTTTGAACCATCTTTGAATCTGTTTCTGCTTCTTGACCTCTCATCAAACATGTCGCCGGGCTTCTAACGCCTCCACCTACCCCGCAGGCCGACCCGCCTGCATCGCGGCCATCTCCCTAAGAGTTTCCTCTGAGTACAGGCCGATGGGGGAGTTATACTGCCTCCTCTGAGCGGGGCTGACCGCCGCCGCACGCCCCCCGGGAGAGTCTGCCTCTGCAGGCCCGGAGGAGGTACTGCGGCCGTTTACCTGCACCGATGGAGGCGTCAGGAAGGGGAGGAGACAGGAAGGAGAGGGAGCAGAGCACACGCTTAAAAGACGATATATTTTTTTTTAATCAAGGTGCTGTTATTCTAACCATGGGATCCTTTCAGTATAAAAGCCTGAAAGCATAAAGTGACTGAGAAAATCATCAAAAAGAAAAAATAAATAATTATTGTGAAAATAAATAAACTGACCAAATACATTCCTTTCATTTTAAGTTAATCTGTTGGATCAATTATCATCACTGCTGGAAATCTCTTAACTTAAACAGGAAATGAAATTCATCATGACTGCTCCTGTTTCTGTTTTCCTGCATTTTTGTTTTTGCACAAAACATTTTTGAGGTGCTAAGTTTGGCCTTTCTTGCATTTTTTTCCTGCAGCCACCAGGGGGCAGCAGCCATATACATTTCTCCAAAATACCTTTAACTGGTGTGTGTGTGTGTGTTGGGGGGGGGGGGGGGGGGGGGGGGGGGTTGTTTCACTGTAGACAAAAATAACCAGTGCTGCACAAATACAGGACAATGATTAAAAACATAAATGTGACTACAGAATAAAATGATCCAATGCATATGAATAAGTTACTTCACTATGAGGAAACCTGTATGCGTGCATTACAGTGTTGTTACTTCTCTGTAATCATTGTACGCTGCCAGATATGCCAACAAAACAAAGGTGAAGTAAATTCATCCTGTTGAAGAATAAAATAATGATTTTGATGCATTATGGGTTCATTTACCTGCTGGTGAGGGACGACGGGAATCGTGGCGTCCATTCTCGGTGCCGCCATCGGAATCGGACGCTTCGACCTGCACGGAGAAAAGAAAGAGAGGCATTGACGCTCGCATCGTGAAATGAAAGGAGGGCAGCTTATCTAAGAGAGAGAAGATGAAAATGAAACGTGAAGGTTTTAATTCTCGTGCGCTCCTCTGAATATTTGTGCCTCGTAGAAACGACCATAAAGTCTGGTTTTCATCAATCATCTGCATTCTGACAGATTAACAGTGTAGTCTGTCAGAGCGGCAGCGTGACAGCGTCCATCCAGCAGGTTTAATAATCAAAAACAAACTGAAACCACCGTGTGATGAAACGTCTAAGCAGGACGTTTACAAATCACTTTACTTGTGGCTATTATAGAAAAAACATCAGCAGCAGGAAAAGCTTCAATTTCTCCAGAGAAAATAATAGAAGGAGGTCAGATGTTAAAGCAGACTGACGACAGAAAACAGCAAAATTTAAGTCGGATAAAATTGCAGCAAATGGAAGAAAAGGTGAAAGTAAGGGCACAAAACCAAAAAAAGTCGGCTCCAAATGCTCGCCTCAAGAAATGAAAGACAAGGTCTGAGAGCTGCGATGAGAATGAACACAAAGAGAACGTCTGCTCTGAAGAGTAATGAAGCTTCCTGCTGCAGGCCACAGGGCCAACCACAGCCTCACTGTTTCCAGCCTGACCCGACGTCAGGGGAAATTTCTTTTACTCCACTCAGCACTGTCGCCTGTTCAGCAGCTCTCAGTTCATATTCAAGATTCAGAGACTTCACCTGACAGTGGATCACTATAGGAACACCAGGAGGTGAAAAAAAGTCATCAGGGGTGGGGAACTCCAGGCCTCGAAGGCTGGTGTGAGACCCCCTCAACCTGTCTTGAAGTTCTCCAGAGGCCTGGTAATGAACTAGTCATGTGATTCAGGTGTGCTGACCCAGGGTGAGATCTAAAACCTGCAGGACACCGGCCCTCGAGGCCTGGAGTTCCCCACCCCTGTCCTACATGTTGGCAGCTTTAGCTGCTAGCTGCCTGCTAGGCTTTGCCTTAGCTAACAGGAGTCCTTGAACTGGACCTCTGCACCATGTCTGTGCTGTTGGAGTTACCCAGCTAGTAACGCATCTGTCTTCTAAACAGAAGATACCATAACCAGGCTCAGGGAGGGGCGGGGCCATCTGAAAGCAGCAGGGGGCGACTCCTGTGGTCGAGAAAAGAAGCAAAATGATGTTTTCGGTCCCATTAGAATAAAAGAGAATCAAACAGGATGTTATGATGACGATAAGGTTGTGGTTATCTTCAGTGTACGGTCTTCTGAGGTTTTTATCTCACCCTCTGTCTCTTCACAGGTTTGTTACGGTCGTTTTGTTCTGGTGGGAAAAGGAAAATGACCCCGATATGAAAACTTGAGTGAAGTCAGTTTATTGTGAGCAGTCCGCCTCATTGGTCAATACAGCTCGAGGGTGAGCGGGGGTTAACAATGACTTCCTGGCCTGTTTCCACCGCTTCATCACAAGCTTGAATTCACACCAGCAAAACATTTAAAACAACAATAGGAAAGAAAAACGGCGTCTCTTCATCCTGAGCTGAGCGTCTTATCTTCATCACCCGAGGCTCCGTGGTTATGAGAGACCGCAGGAAGCGCTTTGTGGACCAACATTCATTTCCCCTCTCAGCTGTCAGACGTCTTCATGGCACAAAGAGACGTAAACGTAATGGCTGAAAGGAGGAAATGATCCGAGCGCAAAGGATGCAGCAGACTGAGGGAAATCCCAAAATCCACAACCTTCATTCCAGGCAGTGGCCGTGCGCTTCAATCCAACATCGCACACAGGACAACAGGATCAAAACATCTAACCCGGAAAACCGAAGAACTAAAAGAAAGAAAAGAAACTTCACAAACTACATTTCAGACAGAGGATGAGCTGAGGCGGTGCATGGAGGCTTAATATCACACAAAGAAGGATTATTTTGAACTGTGAATCATGCAAAGCTGTTGCAGGAGATTGTGAGGATAAAATATGGAGGTGCAGATGAGCAGAACCTGTCCACTTTAAACCCAACAGGACTTTTTAGTTATGATATCTGACCAGTTTTTCTGCAGAGCGAATAACAAATGCAAAAAACACAGAATCATAAAAACCGTCAGACACCTTCAGATCTTCTGACGCCCCAGACGAGTTATTACCAATCAATGTGACCTCAGAGACTGGCAGGTGTAACTGTCACCTGTGTGGGGCCTAAAAGGTTTACGTTTTCACATCAACATCTGAGCTCCAGACAGCAGGAGGACAAACAGGAAGCTGTTACAGACAGGAAGTGTGAGCAGGGAGGAGTCGGTTCTTACTTGGACATGGTGAGTGCCAGGTTGTAGTTTGCCATCTTGATTTTGTTCTGGGCCTCCAGGTGAGTCATCCCCTCGGTGCTGACGCCATCGATGGCGACGATGACATCACCCTGCATCAGGTTGCCCTGCGCCGCCTTGCTGCCTGGAGAGATCTGTCCAAACACAGAGACGACCACGTGTGAGTCACCTTTCACAGGTCAGCGCGCACTCGTTCATCCTGAAATGGTTTTCCACGAAACAATCCATGAAATGGGAAAAGATTTAATCAGCTTTAAAACGTCTGCACAACCTAATCTGGACACGTTACAGAAACAGCGCGTCAGCACGGTGAGGCCTCAACTTTCACGCTTCAGTTTCTCAGAGGAAAACACGAGAGGAGCTTTTCACAGAGCTGGAAGACGTTTCGATGTTAGACAGAAAAACAGACGTTCCTGCTCTCATGAGTTAGCTGTGAGGTTTTAAAGACAGAAGCAAATCACTCCTCATCACCAGGATTTGGCATTTTGAACCATCCACATGAAGCCCCGCAGTGACGTCATCAGTTCTTTATGTAAGAGCACTTTGGCATCTGCTTGGAACCACACTGTGGGACAGCCACCATTGAGGACACCAAGTCGCATTTTTGTATTTTTGTGTTGAAATTTCATCCCAGAGAAGTTTCAGGTTGCTCTACGCACCAACAGAAAGTGCCCTCCTGTTGTTAACACTGCATCAGCATGGCTTTATTTGGTGGGGGCGGTTTAGGCTTGACTTTAAATTCAGTCTGGGAACAGAAGAAGATGCTAACAGTGACACTGTTCCTGGACACTTTGGGGTTCTGGATCTTTAATACATTTCAATTCAATTTTATTTTTATCTCCAAATCACAGCAGCAGTTACCTCGAGGTGCTTTAGATTGTAAGTTAGCAATAATACAGAGAAACCCCAAACCTCAGTCCCAAGGCTCTGTGGCTTAGCTGGTCAAAGCGCCTGTTTCGTAAACAGGAGATCCTGGGTTCAAATCCCAGCAGTGCCTTTTAGTACACCTTTATTACTTCCCCCTTTAATCAGGCCTAAGATCCATTGGACTTCATGTGACCCTAACAATTGACATCATGCGGGAGGCTGTATGTGGTCCTCCTGGTGACTGCAGGGATGCACGCATTCAGAGGAAGGTTGCTACAAAACAACAGCCTTTTACCATTTTTTGATAGATGTGTACGATAAGCTAGCATTCTGAGCGTGTTTATAAAATGCTGACCTGCAAGTCGAGACCAAGTGTAAAATCATAATTTATTTGAAAGTGAGACTTTGGATTCCTGCTGAAAGGAAACGCTACAAAAACACAGCTGCTGTGTGAGACGCCAAACAGGCACTGCTGGGATTTGAACCCAGGATCTCCTGCTTACTAGACAGGTGCTTTAACCAGCTGAGCCACAGCGTCTCCTGCATGTGATCATTTCCTGTATCTCACACTGTGATATGTGGAAGCTGTTGTTACGAGTTCAATATTGGGGATGGAAACAAGAGAAAAAACCACAATAACAACACTGGTCCGGCCGGGTTGAGTCAAACGATGATTTTAATGATCACATGCGTGGGAGATGGACACTGTATGCAGACAGCCTCTGATCTCAAAATGGTGGAGCATTGCTCAAACTTTTATAGCGTCTGGTGCCTCCACCTTATCATAAAAAGCCTAAACATTTACATGCTTTCTCTCACACAGCGTCTAAGCTACGACCTTGGCTCCCCGGTTATCTGCTCCTGCTGAGATGGGGCAGAAAACTCCAGCATGTTCTCTTCTAATCAGACAAATAAGACAATAACTCTCTGTGAACAGTATTTCTTATAACTCAGCAGTATAATGCATCATAAAGCAATGTCATTCATTCACAACAAGTCAGCAGTTTAATGTCATGCAAATCAGTTTAACTAATGCAATAGTTATCAGCTTCTTCTAATTCAGGAGAATAATGCAAACTAAACTACATAATAATTCACAATCTTTAATTAGGGATATAACATGGCATAAAATAACACTACAATCCAACACTGTCCAATCGGGCCTCTTGTCTGTGCTCCATGCCTGGTTGAAGAGGAGCTCACGATGGTGCCCTGATCATGTGATGTCTCACATCATCAACAGTGGCTCAACGATCTTCAGGAGCGCCTCTGGGGGGTTTTCACCTGTTTTAGAAGTGAAGAGTTTCTAAATGTGAACATCTCACGGACAGAAGAAGTCCAGCTGCTGTCGGTTCAGGCTCTCCAGACCAGCATGGATGACCTCTGGCTGCTGTTGCTGTCCATGGTGCTGAAATGATGCTACTGATATTATTAATTATTTCTATATGATATTATTTGAGTAAGAGAGAGAATATGAGATGGTCCCAAAATGGTCCGTCACCCAGGGCGTCTCACCGAGACGCTACGCCTGTTTGTCAAACATCAGGGTGGAGCGGATCAGGGGCATTTTGCAACCTTGCAGCTATACCCACATGGCAGGATTTATGTTCCAGCTCCCCTTTAAACCTCTTACTGGTGATGAGGTGAGAGCCTCCAGTAGTTACTGAGCACAGGGACTGAGCTCGCTGTGGTATCACCGGAGTTTATTAATCAAATACAGAGCAGGAGGATGGAAAAATCAATGGAGGAATATGAAGTGTGAGAGTTGGCTGGAGGATCCTCCATCAGCTTGTTGGATGTGACCCAGCACCCTGCTTCATCCTGCAGCTCTGATCCAATCTTTGTCCAAAAGGATGGCGTGGTTGGTGCACAAATACATGGTTACCATCATTATCTTCTCTCCATGCAGTGTACCATTACTGAGAGCACATCTACCCTCAGACGAGCTTCGCTGCTTTGTCTCTGAGCAGTGCAGGGCTGGGACGGCAGAGTCCTGGGAAGATGACAAGCTCGACATCGTTACGGCTCGCTCTGTCCACCCGAACCTCAGAAGCCTGCAGAAGCTCAGACTAGTCTAATCTCAGTGTTTTCACACACACACCATCTTAACTGATTCAAGGGAGGAACCTTGTTTAAAAAGACCAGCGGCCCAATCAGGGGATAATCAGGGGTCTGGCTGAGGTGCTGTAGCTTAGCCGGTCAAAGCATCTGCCTTGTAAATAGGAGATCCTGGGTTCAAATCCCAGCAGTGTTTTCATATAAATTAAAGTTTAACTTATCTGACTTCACTGAACCTGCTGATTTAATCGGTTCAGACAATCAAGGTGGGACAGAGAAATGGAAGATGGGTCAATAAACACAAGCAGCAGGACGACTGTCAGCTGTTTAGTCCTCGGTGATTCAGGAATACGATGCCAAACTTGGCTGGTTTGCTGCTCTGAGTCAAAGGAAAACCACAGATGGAGTTAAATGGCATGAACCACATGGATGCACGGCTGTGATTTGAATCCAGGATCTCCTGTTTACAAGGCAAGCACATTAACCTGTTAAGCTACAGCACCTGCTATAAGAAGCTAAAGCTAACATATTTGCTGCTTCTTTAACCAGGTTAAACAATGTTATTATAACTAGGTGATCATATGGTTCAACATCCATCACAGGTCATCAATGGCTGTTCAGTTTTCTCACCAAAGCTGGAATCATTCATTTATACTTAGATGCTCTTCATTATCAGACTTTAATAAAAGAGGCTGATGGAAGGGCTGCTCTCAACATGAGGTGAGATTTAATCTGGGGGAGAGAACCAGTGTTTCTTACATGTGGGGGTGGAAAGTTCCACAGCCTGGGAGCAGAGCTTTCGGGTGGTCTGTGCTGGTAGGAGGGGTTCTGGTAATAATGGGGCCAGCAGAGTTTTGAACCAGTTGAAGCTGATGGAGGGATTTTTGGGGGAGACCATGCAAGAGAGAATTACAACAGTCAAGGCGGGAGGTAACGAGACCGTGGACAAGAATGGACGCAGACTGGGTGGAAAGACAAGGATGTGTTAATGTTGCGTAGATGGAAACAGGCAGAACAGCTGAGATTACTGATGGGAGAGTGAACTGTGATGACATCAAGGCTCTGAGGTGAGGGGAAAACTGTGGAGTTAGTGAGAAATGGTTTGCCTTCACTAGGTTGGATTTAGTGCCAATAAAAAGGATTTCAGTTTTATCCTCATTGAGCTTAAGAAAATTAGAGATGAACATCCATGAACCTGGAGGAGGTTAATGGATGTAGTGATGGAGGAGGATGCCGGGTTAGGAGATGATGTGCTCTACAGAGACCTGAGGGAAGCAGCTGTAAGAAGGAACGGAAGGAAATCTTCAGCAAAAGCAGGAAGGAGGAGGTGCTGTAGGTCCGCAGGTCAGAGCACCTGCATGTAAACAGGTGCTCTGACCTGCTGGGTTCAAGTCCCAGCAGTGCCTGAAGGAGCTTTTTCTACATATTTCACTGCGACATCACCCTGATGATCTGGCTGTAGGAGCTGTCGGCCTCTCTCATCCAAACGTTTGTTTGCTGCTTTCAGCTTTTCTCGTCACGGCCGAGCTGCAACAATGTGAGGCCTGTCCAGGCGGCAGAGTGGCCTAGTTTCACTGGGAGCTGACCTACATACACACACACATGCACGGACACACACACAGATACACGTTAGGGGTGTCCGAAGTGAGATGACATCAGAGGAGGCGGGTCTCCTTCTCTTTATGGTCGCTCGTCTCCTCTCTGGACAAGAAAGAGTTAGAACTGAGGCTCTGGACTTTCTCTGACAGCAGCGACAGTAACAGTAGATGAGCTGAGAAAGCAGAGATAAGACGTGTGTGTGTGTCGGCGTGTGTGTGTGTCCGTGCGTGGGTGTGTGTCCTTCAGAGGCTAAAAACAGCCTGCTGCCTGTCAGCAGCTGCTCGCCGCCTCGCTGCAGAGATAAACTGCAGCTGATTATTTCTCACATCGATTCATAAAGTTAACTTTTATCTGTTTGCGTCAGATTTTTTTTGCATGCCTGTGTAACATTTTGTCCCACAGCTGTGGGCTGAGTGGATCTGTGACGGCCACTCCTTCCCGTCGTCCTCACAGTGGTTTTGCTTCATCCTTCAGTCTGAATGTTTGTTGCTTCTTTCTGTCTCTTTTTGATCATCTTCCATCCTCAAATAACCATTTGTGTCACCTTTGTGTGTCCTTGCATGTGTGTGTTTGTGTGTAGGGATTCAATTCTATGCCTTCTAGTTTTTAA